TTTGTTGCTCCGCGGCCGAGATTGGGGGGGGGGAATCCCCCCTCCGGCTGTGAGATGGGGTCAATAGACTCAGCCTGATTAGGGTTTAATTATTGTTGATAGTTTATTAATATAATCAATCATATATAATTAGTTTTATTGTTGTAATTGTCGTGAGGGTTGTTTAGTTGTTCTTGTTCGATTGCAGATATAACTGTCATTTTGATTGTACAGGGCCTACCGGCGGTCAGAGAAAATTATTCAATGCAAAATATTGAGCGTGCTCCATGTATATCAAAATATGGGATGATTTGAAGGAATTCTGTGCAGAAAGACTGGTTATATGGAAATTTGTCACACCTTTAGCACCTAACCAAAACGGATGCGCTGAAGCACTAGTCAAGAGCTGTAAGCATGCGATAAAGAAAGCCATCGGAGACTAACATCTAACTCCATTGGAATTTCACACATGTCTTCAAGAGATAGCCAATTTAGTGAATGAAAGACCAATTGGAAGACATCCAAATGACCCAGATGACGGAAACTACATATGCCCAAATGACATTCTTCTTGGAAGAGCATCTAACGGAGTTCCACAAGGACCGTTCCGCACCAGTAAGAATCCCAGACATAGAGTTGAGTTTGTGCAACAAATTGTCAATTCCTTCTGGAAGAACTGGGTTAGAGACGTTTACCCTGCTTTGGTTTCGAGAAAGAAATGGAGAGTCCACCACCGCGATGTAAGGATAGGCGATGTTGTGGTCTTAGCAGATCCGAACTCCGTCCGAGGGAAGTGGAACATCGCCAGAGTCACCGAGGTTTATCCAGGTCAAGATGGCAAAGTACGAAACGTCAGAGTTAAGACTCAAAATGGAGATTTCAGCCGACCAATTACCAAAATCGCAGTGATTTATCCGGTAGAGCCCTGGTTCCCAACCGGGGGTACTAGTACCCCCTGGGGGTACCAGCGATCACCACAGGGGGTACCTGGGACGCCTCTTCTACAATTTAAAAAAAGTAGTGCTATATAATAATCAGCGGGTGATTCAGGCATCTCTATCGACAGTGCCAACAAGTCATGGTTTAAAAAAAGTTAGTTTCTGCCATGCAGCAGCAGTCTTCTCATTGAACTGTCATTTAGGGCACAGTGCGCTTGATCGGAAAAATTCGCTGTACGACTGCATTAATAAAACATAAACATGATGTCAAAATATTCATGACAATACATCAGTGTTGGTTCTTCATTTTGCTTATGGTGGGCGAAGGGGTACCAGGAAATAGTGTAAAAAAATTAGGGGTACGGGGAGTCCAAAGGGTTGGGAACCACTGCAGTAGAGGGATATGAGAAAAATTAGCTTTGTGAGTAAACGGTGTTGGTATGCGACCTTCTGGCATAGTGGGGGAGGGGGGTTCATTCTGTGTCCTTTTCTTCCCAGAAATAACTATAGAGGGCGTATCAATCAGAGGTGCTGGTCTAGGGTGAGTTTTATAAAATAACGAAATGCTCTGATTATTATGATATTTACCATGATTGCTGCTATATAACTGATATTAATGTT